AAGGAGGGGGCTTTGTAGAAAACGAAGCGTTTGAGAGAGGCGGGGCATAGAGGACCTACAATAATGTACAGTATTTGAAAAATAATGTGTTTTTTGAACATTAAAGCATGTCAACATATTCTGTTACACAAAATACACAAAATAATGATCTTTAAAAAAGCATCATATGACCCCTTTAAAAGAAAAGTTGTTGATATGTTTCTATGTTTTTGCTATTGTGTATAGGGACCTTGAACTTGTTAAAAGCGCTTTATAAATAAAACATTATTATTATTAGACTATTATTATTATTATTATTTTTTATTATTATTATTAGTTGGGTAGAATAATTTAAATAAAGTGTAATACACTTTATTGTCCCCAAGGGGAAATTTGTCCTTGACTCAAGTTGTGTTTACGCTGACAATATGTTGAATGCACAATCAATCAATCGATCGATCAATCAATCAATCAATAAAAACTAATTAAAAACAGTAAACCATAAAAATGTGGAAAAAGTTCCATGTAAAGACCAAAAAAATTACATATAGGCTATTATTCTGATTTTTTATTTCTTCTGTTATTTTTTCTCAGAGACAATTTATGCTTATAAGTTAATTAGTATAAGTATAATTTATATTGTACAGTACTGAATATCAGTGGCGGCTCCTGCCAATTCTCTCAGGGGGGGCAAATGTTTGCATGATTAATGAGGATAGGTCACCCATTCAATTGATAAATTAACGGCTAGTTAAAGATGTAAAGGAAACTGAACTACTATAGTATTAATAAAAAATAAACTGATATTAATGATTAATTCCCTTATCAAGAATTAACGACTTAAAATACGGTTAAGTCCCTACACAGTACTCACTTACACTGCTTACTTACATCACTTTACTCACTTATATTACATTGCTCCCTTACATTACACTGCTTACTTACATCACATTGCTCACTTGTATTACATTACACCTGTAGTTGTCCATGCGATGTCCGTCACGCTCTCGGGATGGAACAAAATGCAGGGGTAGCAGAATAAAGCGTTAGCTACTTCGCAGCCCGCTAGCCATTTTTTCCGCTCATACCACGTCCTCAGAAATCCCCGTTTATACGACTTCCCGCCCTTTGTTGATAAATGTTTAAATTAGGTCTTGGTGGTCCTAATTCTTTAATTGCCAATTTATCCTTATTGCTACGACGACTGAATTGTATTTCTTTCAATGACACGATAGAATTCATCTGCGCTGAGGTACCGTTCGCCAAGATGTCGATCAAGTTCAACTGACAACTGAATTTGAGTTGACTTAGCTGTCCCCGTCTCTCTCTGGTTTTTTTTTTGGTTTTTTTTCACATTTGATAAAGATATTAAAGTAGTTTTTAATTTTTTTCTTGTTGTTAAAATTCAAAATAGTTTTTAAATATTATTGGATGTCACTGTTCCCACCAACCCTTGCACAAGTTAAAGTTACGCATGATGACTAAAGCACGTTAGGGCTAGCCCTCCCGGAACTCATAGAGATTGCATTGCAGTGCCTGCAGTTCGAAAAAAATGATCTTTGTATGGAAGTCTATGAGAGCACCCGGGGCGATTCTCAGTCTGACAGAAATTGGCCAAAAAGGGGCGGTACTACACGAAACGAGACTCGACGCTGATTGGACTATTTAGAGGCAGAACAAACAGTGAAAGCTAGCATAACACTGTGGTTGAATGTGAAAGAAAAAAAATCCCTCCCTTTCGCGCTTGGTGGTGCGTCGGCCAATCGCCCTAATGGAGAAACCGCCCCTGCTGAATATGGTTAACTAGCTCTCTCACAGCAGGTTTTAGATAAATGTTTAATCAAACAAGGTGGAAAAAAGTGAATAACTTAATAAGAGTCCATAAATTAATATCTAGCAGCACTGCTATCTAACATCAACTGATCCTGATAAATACAAAATCACTAAAATGATCCAATAATCTGGCCCCTGTAAATTAAAAATTGAAATTAGCATGTTAGGGCACTCAAACCATATACAATTTTTATTTGTCCCGCCCACCACCAAATTTGAACCAATCAAATTAACTGTTACATTTTGAGTATTGTACAATTTGCATTGAGTGGAATCTTTAGAAATATAATACTTCATTTTACCCGAGGGTCCATTTTTTACCTGAAATCACCTTAAATTTGAAGCAACGTTAGATAAAATATTGTATTTTTCCAAAAAAAAATAAATAATAATAATTATGATCAATTTCAATATGTTACCATTTTTAAAAACCCTTTGGTGGAACTTGTCTTGTCATATAACTGCTCTTGTTGGTTCAGTAATACAGGTCCCATTATGTCATCAGAGGCACACTTTGTATAAGAGCTGGAAAAACACGTTGAGTGTGTATGTGTGTTCTCAGGTACTGCTCTCTGCCCACTCAGATGAGAAAAGACTGTTTTTACACTTTCCATTGAGTTACGACTTGCTGGGTACCCTTGATGTTTAAGTAATGTTATGGTAATTCAATTATTATATATGATTGTGTAAATGAACAACACTTTGGCTGTTCAGAGTTCATGAAAGTGTTTGTGGCGAAGTGCTGCTTTATGTTACATATGCACTACTATAATGCATGTGCTACGACTGCAGATTAGGAAATGTAACAAAACGACATGGAGAAATGTTACAGCACCAACTCGCTGTATCAGGCACACACTTTCCCATGGGAAAAATCTCTTCTCCTCTGCAGCGTGCCAAGAAAGAGACATCATTTCAAAATGAACAGTAAAGAGGGCTGAAGCCAAAGAAGAGCCACTGCAAATTGTCTTTCCCCATGAGGCAGTCAAGCCAAGACACTGTTAACCAACTGAATTAAAAGGAAAAACAGTAACCAGTTTTTGTTTTGGCTCACAACACTAAGAAAAATGTTTGTGTCCACGTCAGCTGTATGACAGGAGCTTGATGGTTCTGCTGCCGGTTGAAATGCTGCTTAGTCAGTGATCTAAACCTATAGCCATCCACACCCGGTATTCTCAGAGTAATGACACTGCAGAACAGGTTAGGCTAAATAGAGAAATAAGAGATGGAAAGACTTAAATAGACTCTCCCCCCATTCCAGGCAAGCATTGGTTTTTCTCTGTATCAGTCAACACATTCACACACATAAACTGCATAGGTAGAGGCAGGCGGTTGTTTAAATATGGTGCTGTATATTATTAGCAGGTTATATAAACTATAGCAGATTGCAAATTCTGTTATCAGGCTGTGTACTGATTACCATCTGTTTAATAACTTGGATAGCAGTGTGTTTAAGGAAATATGTTCACAAGACGTGAAGTGGGAAAAGTAAATAAGCATATCCTACTTCTAAACAAATAATGGCTTTTAAACATATTATTTTAAATAAACCAAGATAGAAAAGAAAAAAGACAAATGCTGTTGTTTAAAATCACTTTCACTTCCATTTTGATGGTAATCATGCATACGAATGAGTAAATAAAAACATAAGCATATAGTGCCTCCTGCTGGAAAAATAGGGTAAGTTGTAAATTGATAATAAATAAAAACTCCCTCTCAATCACTTGTCATTGTCATTAAACTGGTATTTTGTTGATGTCACTGTTGAGGTTTCAGATCTGTGTTCCAGGAAGTTCGGTTTCACCTCATTTCACATTTCACACGATCTAGGCTACGCAGAATGTGTCCTGTGTGTTATTGCAGCGTTAGATGCAACATCAGGGCAGGAAGTGATTCACAATCAGAAAAGTATTTGGTTCACAGGAATTTGGAACAATTGAAGGAAGGCCAAAAAAAAGTGCACAGCACTTATTTCTCAATTGCAAGCAGCATAATTTCTACAGAAATCATCTTAAATGTATTAGGTTCTTTCTTACCAAGAATTATTTCTAAGATATACCCTTTTTAACCAAGCGCTGGGTTATATTTAACCCAGCATTTTTTAGAGTGTACATTAAGCATGATATTATGTCAAGGTTTCCCAAACTGGGTTTGTAAAGGAACTGCAGGGGGTTTATGAGTTTAAAATATTTGTTTTAAAATTTCAAGGGTACTTCAAATAAAAATATATTAGGTGAAAGAGGATCAGATGACAAAAAAAAATAGTTGGTGAATTTGTGAATTTAAAATGTGTTTGAAAGACAAAAGTCTTCCAAAGTAATACATGGTAACATAACTGATATTCAAATAAAAAGTTGTGTGTTCATCAGTAGTTGATGCAATGTTGAAACACAAAATGATTTTTGTAAATTCAGTGGTCAAATGCTGTGTAACCACCTGACTAGTGACTGGTCTTTGTGTGAACGTCCACAAAACTGGAAGACTTTCAGAGTGTATACAACTGGTAGGCTGTTTTAGAAAAGAAATGTAAAATATGAAAAAGAGGAATTAAGGAGAATCA